GTCTTGTGTGTATGCGTCGAAGCCCACCGTTTGATCAAGATTCCCCGCTGGGGTCCAAACTGGGTGCTATTGGAAGACAGAGAAAAGCTGTGACATCGCTCGGCTTCAGCCAAAGGTACACGGGGTGAGTTTCGTGCCTGACTAGGAAATGCAGGCGAACAGATGCTAATATTCATGCAGAGAAACGCCGCAATCGGGACAGCAATCGGGCATGGACGGGTCGACCCGGCGTGGGTTCTGGCGAAGGACCATAGAGTAGCCACTGCGTAGTTGAGCCGGAGTACAGCGAGACACCCTCAGGAGTTGTGATTGTGAGGACGATATCGGAGATAGATAGACGCCCGGAAGGACTGGGGGTGGTAACCTTATTTTTCCTGGACAAATGATATCTAGTGAAGACGCTGGAAGCCTGTCTTGGTGACAGAGCCATCAACGGGTAGATTCGAGAGACACGAGGCGACAACTTTCTTTTGGGGAGCTCTAATGGACGGCCAAACGTTGAGGCTGGGTTCAAGAGCGTGACACCGGTGGTAATTACGATGGCCGAGTTGCGAACAGGTCCACCAGAACTACTAGACTAAGAGTGTGATGTGGTGGGCGACCGGCAGACAGAAGTCTCTGCACGAAGATGATCGATAGGCGACATTTTCTAGCAACCCGTGAACGTGCGCAGGGCAGCGTTCTGCGCTGAGGTGGAGAGTGGAATAGCTGATCATAAGAGTCCAGATTGGTGCCGCATAAGTGAGATGCGGCTTGGCCAGCGCTCTGAATGTGGTCGTCAAAGTCTATTTTGCGCTTCTCCATGATGTGCCCGCTAGGGCCTTGAGGACCATTGTGCAGCGGCTCACTTTGTTTGCGACCTCCCTGGCATAGTTCGCGAACGTGGAAAGCGGATCGAAACATAAGCCAAGGAGCTTCGGCTTATGGACGAGTGGTAAGGACGCACCGTTGACGATGATGGTCAGGTGACGATTGAGCTCCTTCGGGTGTAGCGTGAAAAGAGTGACGGACGACTTGGCTGCCGAGATCGTCATTCCGCGCTGGGTGAAGAAGTTTTCGATATCACGCGTGAACTCCGAGAGGAGCTGCGCAGTCTGATCCATGTGACGGTGCCCGCAGAAGAACGTTACACCGTCCGCGTACGATACCATTTTCAGAGTTCTCTAGGGGACAGGGAGATTCCGCTCGTAAATGTTGAAGAGCGTCGGAGTGAGCACGGAGCCTTGAGGAACGCTGCAGGTCTGCTTGCGGGGCTAAGAGAGAGCGCCACGGAAAAGGACACGATCGTTGCGGCCACGGATATAAATGGCAAGCCATCGGACCAGGCCAGTCGGGAGGTTAAGCGAGACCAAGTCCCGCGGGAGTTGATCGTGTCGGGCGAAGTTCAAG